AGAGCACTTGTAGTCCTCCCTCCCCATCATACCCTCTTTAGGGGCTCAACTGTGTCTCCCTGAAAGATATGCCGAAATCTTAATCCTCAGAACTTATGATGTCACCTTATTTGGAAATGGGGTCTTTGCAGATGTAATCAAGTTAAAATGAGTTCATACTGGATTTGGTTGGACTCTAATCCAATGACTAATGTCCTTATAAGAAGAGAGAAATTTGAACACAGAAGACAGAGACAGAAATTGGAGTGATACAGTTACAAGCCAAACAATCTCAAGGATTACCAGCAACCACCAGAAAACTAGAAGATGCAAGGAAGGAATCTTCCTAGAACCTTCAGGAGAGCATGACCCTGCCAACACCTTGATTTTAAAGTTCTGGTCTCCAGAACTGTGTGAGAATAAATTTCTTGTTTAAAGTCATTTCGTTTGTAGTACAATAAGTCCCCTATATATGAACTATCGTGTCACAAACTTTAACAATGCACACCTGCACTTTTATGTATTATTTCTCTCCACCAGGTGTCAGTATAGCCTGTTAAATACATACAATACTATATAGCAAATATGCTCTTGGAATGGAACTTGTTCATATGATGGGAACTTTCTGTAACTTGTTATGGCAACCCTAGCATATTTATATACCCTTTTCCCCCTTTCTGGTTCCTTAGGGGACTTATGAACCCCATTCTCATGAACTTCTCCTATGATGGGCCATAAAGCACTGACATCTAGAAGTGCCCTCTGTGCTAAATCTTCTACCTATCATTGAAACTCATCTCTTTGTGAACGCTGCATTGGCAATGATGGGGCAATCCAAACCAGGACCCGGATATCAGGCACAGACCAGACCAGGATCTGAACACAGAAGTGAGATAAAGTGACAGAGAGAGAAAACCAAGGGAATCTGAGTTAGACACAAACCTGCAGGTGAAAGACCAGGCAGGGCATCCCCACAGTGACCAAGGACAAGTGGATCCAAGACCCAGGCTGTTTCCCATAAGCAGGACCATACCGGGATCAAAAGCAGGAGATCTGGGACTCCTCGACCTCACTCCAGATTTGGATTCCACCACTCAACACTGAAGATGCCCCTTCTTTTTCCAAGACACTTTCACACACAGTATCCTATTGGATGTTCAAAACCAGTCTGTGTGAGCTGAGGAGAGCAATAATACGATCTCCATTTGATTCACAGGCAAACAAAGCATCAGAAGGGCTAAGTAACTTGCTCAGTATCACATAACTGGTTATTAGTAGTGCGTGTAGAGAAAAAAAATTGGACTTTGGAGTCTGGTAGACGAAGTTAGGACCAATACAAGCAAACGATTTGATCTCTCTGAAGCTCTTTTTTTTGTTGTTGTTATCACTATGAAATAACATAGCATTTGTACAACAGGTGCTCAATAAGAGAGTCCTTCCTTCTTTCCTTTCTTAATTGTTTTCCCATCTCTGAATTCTGTGCTCTTAACACTAGCATAGTGCTACCTGTCACTGGCTAAAGTAATCTTGGCTATTCAGTTCACCTCTCTAGAACTCAGTTTCTTTACGCACCCTGTCAAAGGATTGTACTACATTATTTCCATGGCCTCTTTGAGCGCTGTTTGTCCGCGGCCTGATGAAAACTGCGGTCTAGTTGAGACCCCATTGCCAAGTCCGTGCCTGTTGTACCGCACATAGCCATCAGGGGGCGCTCAACACCACCTTCGCCTGGGACGGGGCAGAGCCTGAAGCCGCGAAACTCCGCCCAGGACTCAGAACTTGAGGAGCCACCTTCGTTCTCCTTCTAAAGGCAAGAGAGAGGAAGGTTTAATCTCTATTTATTGTATAGATGAGGAAGCGGAGGAAAGCAGTTTCATTTTTCCTTAATTGCATAATAGGAAGGGCTATGCAAGATTCGATGGCCTCCTGGAGTTCCTGCTGAGTTGGACATGATACTTCAGCTGCTCGGGCAGGCAGGAGGCAGCCTGTACACTGGGCTTTTTTGCCAGGAGGTGAGGGAGGGCCTCAGCAGCACTCCCCGAGGCAGGCTCCCATTCCCCTCCTCTGGACAGACACCCGAACACAGACATCTCTCCACCAAGAGGGATCTGGATATTCAACTTTTAGGATGAAAACAGAAAGGAGCATATTTCCATGACCTTTGCCTGTGCCCCAGGACCATGCAGGGTATAATGAAAACACACACAGAGGAGAGAAGCTGCTTCTAAGCTGTAGTTGCGGAGTAAAGACAGTGTTGAATCGCAGCCTAGGGAGTACCCATGAGAACCACAGCCTCCATTCCCCAGAAGAAACTACCCTGGGGAGAGTCCTGGGAAAGTCTGCCTTCAGCTTCCTCCTTACCCTAGTTCTGCCTGCTCCTTCCAAGTTCCACTGGATGCAGAGAGTAGGTCATATCTGAAAAGCCCACTCATCCCTCGTTCCCTCTTCTCCACTTCAGCCCCCCTTCCCTGTCCTGTCGGCCCTATGCCCGGCTCCCACTAACGGGCTCTGGGGAGGTCAGGGGCTCCACATGCTCTGTCGTTCTCACTGGCCTGTAAGTCTTCACTCCCTGGGTTCAGGGGATGGCTGTTTGTCTTCCACAGTTCAAGCGCTCAGGCCTCTACTGTTGCCAGCAGCCTGCTTCCATCCAGGGATGTAAATCTCTCCTAGCTTGACACGTGGCCACAAGTTGCTGGAGCAGTGACCAGAGGGGCTGCCTCTCCATCTGTCAGAGGCACTGGTGACAATCTGCAGATGGAATCCATGGCCCCAGCACACGTCTAAACACTCCAAAGAAGCCTGACAGCTGGCACACGGGTGCGTGTCGAGCGAGACCCAAGCAGCGCGAGCCCCTTGGATAGCATTCAAGGACAAGTCTACAAACCAAAGGCCCCTCCTCCAAAATCATCCTTCTCCCTGCCTGGGACTGACTGACCAACTGCTCAGGGATGTTGGGAGAATATCCAGAGATGGGGAGAGGAGGCTCTCTTATGTATCAAGCAAGACTTCCTCCTCCACGAAGAGCCACAGTTCAAAAGTTGAGTCCTTGCCAGGAATCCCTCCACACCTCAGACACTGAAGCGTTCATATTGCTCTGGGTTAAAAAGGAGAAAGTCATCCTTGGTATGCAAACACCCTAAGAAATAAAACCTGGGCTCCTGGAGAAAAGGGAGCAGCACAGACCAGGTCCAGTTCACACACACACACACAAACACACACAGTTCACAGAGAACACCCATATGTGGAAATCCACCGGGTCATCCTGAGGGCAGATCGAAGTTTTATAATTCTAGAAGTCCTGAACCCAGACAGCACATCGAATACTGCATCACGGTATACATGCTAAACATTTGTGATTTACGGGGTATCCTATAAATCAACCTGGACAATGGTCTTTGCTCAGGGAGTTTACATAAGAATCCACAAAATGACCCTGTGACTTCATAGACATTTTCTTTCCATAAGAGACTTGCCTGCTAAGTTAAAAATGGAGTAAGGGGAAAAGGGATTAACAGCCTCAAATTTGTAACTCCGGTTTTACTGAAGAGAATAATACAGGTTCCTGCAGCCCAGGAAGGGGAGTAGGAAGGTAGAGGTTATGGAAAGGCTGGGAAACATCTGAATATATATATGTATATATATATATATATATATATATTTTTTTTTTTTTTTTTTTTTATGAGTTGGAGTCTCACTCTGTCGCCCAGGCTGGAGTGCCATGGCACACTCATGGCCACTCCAGCATTGCCCTGCTGGGCTCAGGCGATCCTTCCGCCTCAGTCTTCCAGGTACCCAAAACTACAGGCACGCGCTACCAGAGACGAGGTTTTGCCAAGTTGCCCAGGCGGGTCTCAAACCCGCGGGCTCAGGCACTCCACTCGCCTCAGCCTCCCAAAGTGCTGGGATTACAGGCTGAGCCACTGAGCCCGGCCGAATATATCCTTCACACAAGACATAAGACACGTGCCTAAAGCAACCCTCTATACACACACACACACACACACACACACACACGTAAAGCACGGAGCAAAACAGGGTTCTGATGACAAGACTTTATGACTCCATCACTGGCTTATATAACATGGGAGATGCCCCATGCGCGCCCCACGTCCTGATCCCGACCACAGCCAGCCCTGTCCCCCGAGGGTGGGTGTTCTGCTGAAGCCCTGTGGGTAGCATGGCTTTGCCACTCACTTGTGACTCGATTCCTGGAGTTTCAGAAAGGGCGGGGAAGCAGAAGTGCCCAAAGTTCAAGCTCACGCCCCTTCATCCAAACAGATGTTTTGTTTTTTGTTTGATGAGGATTAGGAAGAAAGGAGTGAGGATTCGTCCTAATTTACTGCCTCTGTCAAAAGCTAGCTCTAAGGAGAAGGGAAGGGAGTGAGTGGATTATGAAAAGAAAACAAATGGAGAGAAAAGAGGGCGAGGATGCCCTGCATTCAGTAATATTTATTAATTTGATGTTAAAAGGAAAAGGGATCCGTGCTAATGGTTCACCTTCCGATGAACCCTGGAATCCCCCAAACCCTGAAAAAGTCCTTCAGACGCTGCTGTGAGGTAGATGGAAGCTGTTTCCGTGGCTAAAGTGAGACCGGCCAGTGCTTAGAGAGCAAAGTGAGGGAGCCAGGGACGAACCCCAAACCTTGACCTTTTCTGGCCTGCTGCTCTCAGCCTGGGCGGCAAAGCCTGGAGCCTGGAGTTCCTCAGGACCTGGGCGGCAGACAGAATGGAACCAGGGGTGCTCTCCTTGCCCTCAACACAGAGCATTCATGAGAGCAAGGTGCCCCTACCAAAGCTCCTGTCACCCAGGGCAGCCGAGCACTACTGAGGTAGCAGGGAGGGTCAGGACTGAGGTTCAGGAAACTTCTCTCCAAAAGAGAGAAAGGTTGGCAAAAACCCACTTGATGAGATCCCCCCCATCCCCATCCCATGGCCCAGTCATCAGGTCCCAGAAGGCAGAGTGTCACAGCCGGAGAATTCCACGGGGCTCATTCTGTACAGAGGCCAGAGGTTTCCAAAGGTCATGGATCAGTGGAGTTGTTGCTTCTTCCTGTCCTTGGGCCTAAGAAACTCCCCAAGAAGCCCTGGAAAATGGACATAACGATAAACCTTGGGATGAAGGAGCAGAGGGTGGGAACAGGGGCACTGGGGGAAAGGGGCAGAGATCAGGGACCCTGGAAAGCATATTCAGTTACACAAAACCACCAGGGCACCTCCCAGCCACAAACATCCCACCCCCAAGTCCAACGGCGGCTGGGGGGACAGGTGTGCACAAAAAAATTCTCCCTCCCGATTTCCTCACCTACTAGACTATCCTTCATACCAGAAGTGGATTCTCACCTCCACAGCCATCAAACCTTTGCGAGAGACCAGAACCGAGGCCGCGGGCTTGGGAGGGCCACTAGGCTTCTCTTTAAGTCCCAGCCAGGCCTAGTGATGGCGAGAAATCTGGGCGGCCAAAGGACCGAGCTAGAGCACCAAATCAGAGCCGACCAGGCGGGAGAGGCCCGGGAACACAGCAGCTTTTCCCGTCGGCTGCTTGGGTGCTAAGGCATAAAGCTGCCACTGGTCCTGCCTTGCTTCAACTCTGGCTGTTGGATCCGGGAAAGGAAAGGGTTCTGGATCCCACTGTGGTTCCCTGCTCCCTCTTCTCTCCCTGCAGCGCCATCCCAGGCCCCCACCTTTGACCCCGGGAGACCCCGACGGCTTCCCGGCCCTGAGCCGCCGGTCCCTCCGCCGGGGTACCTACCCGTCGAGCGGAGGGCACGGCCGGGACTGCGCGGGGGCGCCCGGGGCCGCGCGGGCCGGGGAGGCGACGGCGCGGGACGCTTGGGGCCGGCAGCGGCACAGGAGGCGGCGGAAGGCGCTGCGGAAGTCCGGGCTGCGGCAGTAGATGAGTGGGTTGAAGGCCGAGTTGGCGTAGCCCAGCCAGTTCAGCGCGAGGAACGCCGGGCTGGGCACCAGGGAGGGACCCCCGAGGGCGCGCAGCACGTTGGCCAGGAAGAAAGGCAGCCAGCAGAGCGTGAAGGTGCCCATGATGAGCCCCAGGGTGCGCAGGGCGCGGTGCTCTCGCAGAGGCAGCAGGCGCGCGGGTCGCCGGCCACCGGGGGGCCG